GAATCTCTAGAAGAGCAGTCAGTGCTCTTAACCACTGAGCCATCTCTCCAACCCTTTCCAGCCCTGTTAGCCTGATTCTCAAAAGATAAAATGTAGTAACAATCTCATCTTGGAGCGTTGAAGAGAATAATGACTTAAACCATTTTGTTACAGCAAGTATATGAAAACCTTTTGGTTACAAATGCTAACTTGTGTGTTGAACATTGAAAGAGAATGTATTGTTTGGCTTCATGTCTTGATCCCTGTCATGGAACTAGATTTTTTTTTTTCCTTTTTTCAAACATACTTTCAAAACTAATCCATTTTGAGACTCTATGTGATTCCAAAATGGAAATAACAGGTCTAACCCTTTATTTCCTCATACTTAGCTCCTAGGAGTAGAGTTAAATGCCTAAGTGATACTTGAACTGAAATTGGAATGAGCTAGGGCATGTCTGGTGATATGTGATACATAAATAAGGGCAAACAGGGTAGATAGCAGCAATTTTCATTTCGGCTATCCAGATATCTTTCCTGTATAATGGTAGCTTGGGTGAGAAAGAATTCCCACAACTCAGGCATTTGAAGACTTGACCCCCCGGGTTAGTAGTACTGTTTGAGAAGGTTATAGGGATGTAAACCTTGTTGGAAGGAAGTATGCCCTGCCACTAACTTCCATATTTCCCCACCACGGCAGTCTCATCCCTCTGGAAATGTAAGTCAAAATAAACTCTTCCATAAGTTGTTTTTAATCATGGTTATTTATGAGATCAATAAGAAAATTAAACAGTAAACATATCCATGTCCATTTTAAATATATATGTTTTCATAAAATCCATATAGTTTCTCACTCTTCCCTAAAGAATACTTACATTCTCATCTATTTCTATAATGTAACTTCAGGAACAAGAACTCTAGGTGATATGCAATTCTCTTAGTTAACTTTTCTGATTCTGTCTTTTGTATGTTTATAGTTTTTTTTTTATTTGAGGTTGATCTTTGTTTCTGATGTTTCTATACTAACCTCCGTTTCTTATTCATTAAAGCTAATTGTTTATTTGATGTAAATAAGTAAAAAATGACATAGTTCTGAAGGTTACCACTGCATAGATAAGTATACTAAAACATGCTGCCAATATCATCTATATTGTATTCTTACACATCCCCTGTAGATAACTAAATGTGCATTACTATAACCAAAAACTCTGATAGAAAGGGCTCTGAAAGAAGCACAGAGTCACAGTTTCAGAGGGATTTCAATCTATGACTATCTCAGTTTGTGCCTATGAGAATTCAAGCCAAAGCTCTTCATATCCCCATAGACTAGGAACCAGGGCCTGATAAGGCATCCAGAGGCCAACTCCTACATCTGTAAACCAGGCCCTGCCTTCCAAAGTCTACACAGCCTTCAGTGGGGCCAGAAGCTGGAGATAAAGTACTAAAAACACGAGCTTACAGGGGACCATTTCAGATTCAAGCTGTAACAGTAACTAACCTGGTTTTCTGGTTCTTTATATAAAGTTAAACACTCACACAGTTTCCTTTCATGATACGCAAAGGGCCTCTACTTTATACTCAATTTAGAAATTATTAGCTTATAGGCACCATTCTTATTTTCAGACTTATGTGTTATTAAGTGTACTTCTTATACTTTATTTAAACTCCCATGCTTTGATAGTTTCCAATGTTTTGCAACCACAAATGTTAGAGTCCATATATACATGTTTTTGTCATTTATTTATTTATTTATTTTATTTATTTATACTCTAGATTTTATTCCCCTCCCCGTCCAACTTCCGACTCTTCCACATCCCATACCTCCTCCCCACCCTCCTGTTTCCACAAGGATGTCCCCACCTAACCAGACCTCTAAACTCCCTGGGGCCTTCAGTCTCTTGAGGATTAGGCGCATCTTCTCTGTCTGAATGCAGACCCAGCAGTCCTCTGCTGTATAGGTGTTGGGGGCCTCATATCAGCTGGTGTCATACATATATTTTATATTGTTGATATATCCATGCTTACATATCATTTACCCTAATACAAAAATTTAGAACCAAGATTTCTTGATTTAATAAGTTCTGTCTTAGTTGCTTTTCCTTTTGCAGTGATAAAATGCCCTGATAAAAGCAACTTAAGAAAGAAAGGACATGTGTTAGCTTATCACGGTAAAGGTGAGGCAGCACAGACTGGAGGCTCATCATATGTATCTGCAATCAAGCAGAAAGTAATGGATGACTTCTCTCAGCTCAGTGTCTCTTTATATGTAGTACAGGATCCCAGGCCAGAAAATAGTGCTACCCACAGTGGATCTCCCAACCTCAGTTAACTGAGTCAAAGTATTATCCCTATCCCAAGACATGCTCACAGGTTCTTGGCTCCCAGGTAGATCTCATAAAAATCATGATTGAGATTAACCATCACAAGTAATTGTTCTTAATATATTGCCAAAATCTCTTCTGTTGACATTAGACTATTTTGTATTCTTCCCAGAAATGTCAGAAGCACTTATTTTTAGACTAGTTGTCAGGAGCAATAATTTCATCTGGGAATTTACTAGAAGTGAAATCTGGGATCCAGCAACCTGTGATTTAATAAGGTAATTATTTAACTGAGTTTAGAGTATGCTCATTTTTCCAATCCCAGAATTTGCTAAATCATACTTAATCGTAGAATACAGCATGGGAATTACTTGTTAAATGAATTATATTTTGGCCTCAACTATTGATACATTCACCTTTCCAATATAAAGGAGGTTATTTTTAGTAGACAAAATATAAACAAGATGTTAGCTAAGAAAGTCGTACCATGATTTAAGTTGTATGATAAGCAACATGTCTAATAGCCCTTACCTATTTTAGACAGTGCTAAGAAACACAAGTGCACCAACTACATTGTAATAATTTTGTAAAAATTAATACATGTATACATTTTTTTCTTGCTCATTATCTACCTTCCCCCAGCATCTCTCTCCAAACGTCATGATTTAAAAAAAAATAACCCACCAAGTCTAATTAGTGATGCCTATACATGGATATGTGCAGGGTTACCTACTGGGGCACGGGAAACTTTCCAGTGGCCATCCCCATCAAAGAAAAATGACTCTCCCTCAGAAGCCATCAACTGTCAATAACTCCTTAAGTGGGGGTAGCACCTCAGGAGACCCCTTCCTACTCCATGTTGGAATTTTTAACTCTTGATCTTGTGGAGGTCATGTTGTGAGTAACCAGGGCTTCTGTGAGTTCATGTGGGTAACAGCTATGTCATGTCCAGAGAGCAGCCTTTCACAGCACCACTCATCTTCTAGTTCTTTTATTGTAACCATTTTTTAAAAAGAATTATTTAAAATTTAAATTATATTTAAAATGTATCCTGGCTAAACAAAATCTCTATATCCTGCATTTCAGCAGGAGCGTGAGAAAGATGAAAAAAGGACATGGTGGGGGAGTAAACAATCGAATTCATTGTAAGTATCAAACTCAAGCCATCTACAGCTCAAAATGGAGCCTTTGATTTTCCTTCGTTTTTGAACGTAACATTTTATATACATATATCCACCAAAATCCTTCAATCATTTTTTTTAAAATTTTGATTGTTTTAGATGACTTTGTAGTATTCATTGCATCTTTCTTCCATAGTTTATATATTTTGACAAAATTAAATGTGAATTTTTCTAAGATGACTGCGTACAAGCACATAGATATGTGCGTGACTGTCTCCTAGTATTTTCTTCGCTCAATATCACAAACGTCAACATGATATGACACCTGTTTCTGAACATTCGTACCATTTTCATGTGACTGACTAGTTTCCCCCGATGATCAAAATTTAATTTCGAGTGTCAGATTCCTTGTGTTTCTGTCTTCTGAAAGGTGAAATTTTCACCTGGGCAAGTAATGAGTTTTTTGGAGCACAGTTTTTAATGAAATGAGACTTCACATTTGACATCTTCATGAGGTGACATTCTCCGTCAAGGTTACACTACTGCTTCATATCCCTGTGTAATCTTAAGAAACCAACACAGATACCTTTAGTTAGGTTGACTATTCTATAGTATATTGTAACATTCTTTAGGAATTAGCTTTATCATTCACATATATATTCAGGATTGGCACCAGCTTTTTTTCATTATTATATAGATATATACACCTGCCAAGGTACAGAGAAGGTTCTTTTGTAAGTTTTCTGTTACTATTGATATTCAAGGAAAAGTTGCTTGCTAGTTTTTAATTTTATAGCAAAGATCACACAGCATGATGCTTAAAAGTGTTTCAAAGCTGTATGAGTCTTTGAAACACAAATGTATTTCTATCACATTTAATTAGATTGGGTTTGAATAGGATATTAACTTTCAGTTCTATAAGGTCTTCTATTTCATAAATACAAACTGTAGTGTTTTATAAGTACATTAGCATTTATAACATATTATTTAAATTTTGAAACATCTCTAAATACTGTTCTAAAACTAACAGTATTTTCCTTAAAATGACAGAATTTATTTGCAGTATCTTCTATTTTATTTAATTGTTTCATGTTTTCCCATATTATTGTTCCAAGTTTAGTTTAAAGGAATCTAGACCTAATATCTTCTTCCTATAAGATTACATACTGTTCTTAGACCATGTTTCATCTATGTGTTATTGTAGATTTAGCAACTGGAATTAAGTTTAGATAACCTTCAATACATCCAGTTGTGTTGGCTGGTTTTATGTCAACTTGACAAAGGTTAGACTCCTTTTTAACTGGAAGAATGTATAAAAGACAATACTCCAATTCTCTCTCCCAAAGACATTCAATTTGTTTACTCGGCTCTTCAAAGTAAACGAAGAAAAAATTCAGAAAATTTCAAATATATATACTAATAGATACTGCAAAAAAAAATTGATGAGGAAGTCTTACCTTTAGAAGGCAATATCCAGTATGTAGGCTTCACAAGTCTCAGCAAAAGTCTGCTCTTTATCACCAAAGTATCAGGAAAGGTAAAGTTAATAAAAAGTTACACACACTCACACTATGGTTATTCCTACCCCAGGCGGGACTCGAACCCACAATCCCTGGCTTAGGAGGCCAGTGCCTTATCCATTAGGCCACTGGGGCTGACGCTGTAAGGATGTGCAAGAGAAGCCTAATATGGCTTCCCTACGCTGCCCTAGGCTCTCCGCTGCTCTCGGAGAGGCCCAATAAGCAGCTGAAAGAGTCAGATACAAATATTTTACACCCAACCAATGGACAGAAGATGGGGACCCCTGTGGTTGAATTGAATTGGGAAAAGCTGGAGGAAGCTGAGGAGGAGGCGACCGGATAGAAAGACCAGCAGTCTCAACTAATCTGGACCCCCGAGATCTCTCAGACACTGAGCCACCAACCAGGCAGCATACACCAGCTGGTATGAAGCCCCCAACACATATACAGCAGAGAACTGCCTGATGTATATTCTCAGTGAGAGAAAACTCACCTAACCCTGGAGAGACTTGAGGCCCCAGGGAGTGCCGAGGCCTGGTGGTGTGTGAGGTGGGGTTGGTGGGGACATCCTCTTGGAGACAGGGGAGGAGGTATGGGATGAAGAATAGTCAGAGGGTGGACCGGTAGGGGGATAACGACTGGACTGTAAATAATAACAACAATAGTAATAGTAATAATAATAGTAGTAGTAATAGTAATAATAATAATAATAGTAGTAACAAAAGATCTGTGTTACCGCTGATCACCACGGAGACATCTGCCTGCAAGAGTCATTTAGAAAGTCTAGCTTTTCTCCTTCCCTGTGCTGTACAGCACTACAAAAACCCTACCAGGATGATTTTTCAGTAGAGGTGGAATGGAGAGACTAGACTTTCATTTCCTGCTATTCTATGACGACAACTCAATATCTGTGTAACCTACTTAGGGAGATGGAATTCTATACTGTCATTTAAATCTTAAATCGATGAGGCGACCTCACACCCAAAGGATGGGTAATTTTAGGAAAGAGATAGTGGAGAGACAGACTTTGTACCCTCAATTAGCTTTGATGAGACAGTCCCACCTCCCTTTTTGGTTAGAGAATGTTACATGTGGACTATTCATAATCCACTCTAGCCAATGTGGTAGATATATATGAAGAATTGGAAGTTCTGTGATTTTTTTTTACATTCAGAACTTTACTTTGTGTGTCTTTATATATGTACATGTATGGCTGTACACATGCAGCATTATATTTGTGTGAAAGAAAGAAAGAAAGAAAGAAAGAAAGAAAGAAAGAAAGAAAGAAAGGAAGAAAGAAAGCAAGCAGTGCTATGAGACCTGACACATCTAAAGAGCCATGATTAGAGTAAAATGATGCACAAAACAGTGATAAACAGTTGGAAGAAACATGAAATATTATTAGAAAGACAAAAAGAACACTGTAAGAAAAAAGGCATAAGTACAATAGGCTTAAACTCTCTAAATTATATTTTATGGTTGAAGCAAAATATAACACTGTCAGATGTGATTATAAAATTAGACAAAAATACTGAGGAAAATTATAGAGCATTAATTGAAATAAAATGAAGTTAACTTTCTATACTTCATGATTTCTGCTATAGTGAAATTAGCTTAATATTAAATTATATAAGTGTAATGCATAGAGCTATCACTAAAATACAAGGAGGTACACTCAGAAACACTATAGATAAAGTGGAATTATTAAAGCTATATACAATCCAAGAATGTTGGAAGAAGAAAACAGATACAAAAAATAGAATAATCTTTTAATAGAGTTTTAACAATTTAAGAAACTTAAAGGTAAATTAAATGTACCAATTAAGTAGCAGATTGTCAATGTAGATTTAGAAACATCACTCAACCATATACATTGTCTGTGCCATAAAGAATGCATTTCGGACATGATGGCATATGTTGGTGTAAGTTGAGAATAAAAGATTGGAGATATATATATATATATATATATATATATATGACATTAAATACACTATATTAAAAAGGCACTCTATGCATAGAGAAATATGTCATATATACATGCATCAAATAGTGAAATTGCAAAACACTGGAAATAAAAATTAATGTAACATAAAAGAATTATAGAAAATCCCTAATTATATTAGGAAATGCCAGCATATGTCACAGAATTTAAAAGAACAAGTAAAAATTACCAAGGGTATAGGCAAACTCAACAGTGTCATTAGTCATCAAGGTCTACTCTACATTTAACAACAAGCACTCCATCCTCAAACTGAAGAGTAACATTCCTTTCAAGTATCCCCAGAGTATATATCCAAATTAGACCATTTGTTCCATTTATAAAACAAACCTCAAAACATTTAAAACCATTAAAATAACTGAAAATATGTTAATTCCCAACCAAAAATGAAATAACATTTTCAATTATTAAGGAAAATCTGACAGGAAGGTTTAGAGAAACAATTGTAAACAACAGAACACATGTAGGACATTTTATTTATTGATTGATTTTTTTCTTAATTTCACATTGTGCACCCCAATCTCACACATCTCCTTTCCCTTCATATTTGCTCTCAGCCCATGCAACCTCCCCCCTCAACAGAGAATAAAATAAGATAGAGTAAAAAAATCTCTCTCTGGAGGCTATAGTGTGTCACAGTGTGTTACAAAGTGTACTCTTTTGTCCATACGTCTTTACTTGCAAATATTCATTGCAAAGAATGAGTAGTCATTGTTCTGGTTTGAGGCCTCTGGCTTCTGCTACACTATCGATGTTAGATCCTCATTTGGACTCCTCTTGGATGTCCCATTTTTGACCTTTGTCATGGAGACCCTGCAGCTTAGGATATTCAGCATTGGCCCTTCACACACGCCAGCAGATCATAAATAGGATAGATGTTGGAGTTTGCCAACTCAAAACCCAGGATCTGGGCCTGGGAGGTAGCTTAGTTGTTCGGCCTACCAGCTTTTCTGGGCTCTCACCACGGGGGGGAGCTCTCTAGCATTGCCCTGACTAGTTCACCAAATGCTTCAGCTGGCAAGGAGCAGGAGCAGCTCTCTTGCTCTCATGTCCTTGGGGGTTATCTCATCTGCACATTAGCTCTGCTTTGCTGCTCACGAGAGTCACAGGGACTCTCTCCTGAGTGCTGCAGCCAGTGAGGGGTGAGGTGGAGGGATCTCTACCTTGCCTATGCCAACAAAGGGGTAATTATTGATAAAACTTATGAACATTTTCACAGTAGGGAAAATAAGTGAAATTATTGATATATTTTGATTTGAACATTATATAATGCATGAATTATTGACACAATAAATGATAGCTCATAAATACATACAATATTATATACCAGTTAAAAACTACTTTTAATTTAAAGATAAACGATTCATGGACCAAAGAAGAATCTGGAGGGAAACTGAAGAATTCATTGAAGAGAGAAAGAAAGAGAAAGAAAGAGAGAGAGACAGAGACAGAGATAGAGACAGAGAGAGACAGAGAGAGAAATGAATAACACTATATGCATACAATAGAGGCCTAGGTCCACTCCATGCTCTTTGGTTGATGGTTCAGTGTCTGAGAGCCCCCAAGGGTTCAGGTTAGTTGAGTCTGTAGGTCTTCCTGTGAATTCCCTGTCCTCTTCGGATTTCTCGCTACTCTTCCACAAGCCTCCTGAGGTCCACCTAGTGTGGCTATGGGTCTCTGTTTGTCTATGGCATCTGTTTTGGTAATTTGCAGGATGGAGCCTCTCATAGGACAGTTATGCTAGGCTTCTGTCTGCAAGCATAACAGAATATCATTAATAGTGTCAAGGATTGGTTCTTGCCCATTGGATAGGTCTCAATTTAGTCCAGTCATTGGTTGGCTATTCCATCAGTCTCTGCTCTCTCTTTGTCCCTGAATATTTTGTAGGCAGGACACATTTCACATGGAAGATTTTATGAATGTATTGCTATCCTATCCCTCCACTGGGAGTCCTGCCTGGCTACAAGAAGTGGTCACTTCAGGATCCATATCTCCCAATTCTAGGAGTTTTATCTAGAATCACCTCCATAGCCACAGCCACCCTGGGTTCTTCTCCCTCTCCACTAGTCTCTAGCAAGTCCTAGAGATGCCCCACCTCCTGAAAATTTTCTTTCTCACTCCCCTGCTTTCCCTACATCTGAAAGGCCCCCTCTCTGTTCTCCTCCCCAACCCCTTTTCCATCCAGCCTCCCTTTGGCTCTTTTTTTAGGGGGTGTGGGGGAGGCAGCCCCAGTGGTTGGTCTTTGTTTTTCTGTTTTGTTTTGTTGTTTAAAAAAAAATAGAATTTACTTGACCTATGTTTATGAACCCACTGTCACTGTTTGCAGACACACAGAAGGTGGCATCAGATCTCACAAAAGATGGCTGTGAACCAGTATGTGGTTACTGGGAATTGAACTCAGGTCCTCAGGGAAAGCATCTAGTTCTCCTAACCGCTGAGCTATCTCTCCAGCACTCACTTTGAATTTTCTTGTTTGGTTCTTCTTGAGACAGCAGAGGGAGAAGACTAAGCGTCAGCAGGGGTAAGACTTGATCTTTCAAGATATTTAGGGTTGCTGTATAATAATAAAACGTTTTCCTATCTTAAGTCTAAGTCACTTAGTTGTGGTAGCTAACCTGCCTGTCTGAGTTCCTCTGAAGCAGAAACTATTTAGCACTTCATCATAAAACACCAGGGGATAAGTGAAAAGATTTATTGCTGGGGCTCCTTTCTCTGGTGAATCAGCCAGAAACCTCTCTGGGTAAACTGGTTAACTCTTTGTGAACCAGAGGGAGGAAAGGAAAAGAATTAAGATGCTGCATACAGGCAAATATGCACAGACACATACACATTCAAACATTTATACACCTACACTCTGGCAGGGCCCGACCATCTGTCACAGTCAACTCGACAAGTATCCATGCATGTTTTCATACATACACATATACCCTACACACAAATATATAGACAAACAGACATACACATTTGGATGGATGGATGGATGGATGGATGGATGGATGGATGGATGGGGCAAATCTCTTTAAGCTAAACCATCCAACTAATCACTTTATTTCTTTTCTCCGGTCTTTTTATTCCTTCTTCGACAAATAGTTCTTTAGAAAATTACCTCAGAGATAAAATGCTACATAAAATGAGA